GGGTTGATAGTGACAAGTGAGTGACTGAGTTAGTTTTTAGAAAATGGACATTTTCATACTAACAGAATGAATTGCTTTTACGTTATGTTACCTGAACTCTCCTCCTACTGATGCAGTATATTGTATGATTGTTCTCATCATATTTTGACGTCTTGTTCCCTTATCTTTGAGGATGTATCTGTACCAGACCAATTTTTTAATGATGGTATAACATCATATTGCTGAAGATATTTTATGATTCCTATATTTGTTAATTGAGTTAGCTGTCTTCGATGGGACTTTAATATGCTATGTCTTCATATTATGATCTCAAATCTCTGTGAACGCATGATCTCAGAACATGCCTGCCAGGGTGTACGTATGATGAGTAAACTATGCGTGATTGTGGTGTTTGTCAGCTTGACAACTTGATGTCAAAGAAATCTTGCACTTTACGCTGTGGATCCTCTAGGCGATACTGCAAGCACTAATACCACTGATATAATACAATGCATGCATATTACGTACTATGTAGGTGATGTTAGGGTTATGTGAAAGGCTAAAAACTTTGTTAATTATTTAATATTTAATATATTATTGTCTCAAAAAGAACAATTTGTAGGCGTTGACTCTGTAAATCATCCGTTGCACTGACGCTGTGCGTGCACCCAAAGAGTGGTGTTTAATATTGGGCACAAATAAACTTTATTACGAGATCAAGAATTAAAACAAAAATGGTTTGGTTCACTGTTCCTCTGGAGTGCCGTGCAAGGTTACGTACGCATTGTCAACTTAATAAATGAACTAGAATTGTTATTTTCGTGCGGACATTCGAAATAGAGAAAGCTATTATAAATAATATGTTAACTCGTACTAACTACTTTCACCCCCCCCCCCTCTTTTTCACGCCAGTTTGTACTTCCAAGAACGATACAAGAATGCACCATAGTTATTTCTGCAGTTCTACTCAGTATAACCATATTGTGCCCATCAAGCTTGTCACTTGTGACATCACAGCTGACAGTTTTAGCCAAGACTGGTTCTAGTTCTATTTATAACCTCTTTGCGACCCAAGATATTGCACTGAAACCAAAAACTCAATATAGTATGCATAATTCGGTTAACCAATTCTTGGTAGATGAACACAGCCTCTAGGTTGGCTAAAAACAGGGTTTTTTTCAATCGTACATCCCCTGTGACGAATGTTGTTCACAACATGACACCTGGTGTTTTCTCGGGTGAAAACATTGAATCCTCGTCATGTAATGTTATGCCGTTATCGTTTTTGTTGTTGTTTTTTTTAATGGGGGGGGGGGGGGGGCATCTGTTTTCTGAGGTAAAATTAGTGAGAAATTGGCCGCCAAAGATTAGTTATTTCCTTAGCTTAAGCACCTTTTATGTCCACCTAAAACACACTTTTGTGAGGATTTTACTATAGAAAATTTTACTTTACTTTATCCGTCCTCTTGTACCTTTTGGGTGTCGAGGGGAGAAAGAGGTCCCTGTCTCTAGCAAGTTTGATATCCTGCCTGGGTGGGATATTGTATGTTCATAGGGTATCCTTCACACCCTGGATCCAGGTCTTTCTTGGTCTTCCTCTTGCCTTGTACCCTGATATACCTTTCTGCAGTAGGCTTTACTGGCAAGCTGGCGAGGTGTCATACGTGGGAGATGTCTAAAACACCCTAATTGTTTGCCTTCGAATGTAGTGGAGGACAGGTGTCGTTCGCATTATTTCTCCGATCTCGTTGTTTCTGATCATGACCCGTCTGGTTTTGTTGATGGCTCTCCTTAGACATCTCATCTCGCAGGTGGTTATCTTACGTTCCACACTTTTGGTCAGGGTCCATGTCTGGAACCGGCAGGTCAAGAAGGGAATGAAGGTAGAGTAACGAGCGTGGCTTTGGTCTCACTGAAGATGTTAGAATGTTTGAGGAGTGGGGGCAAGCTTGCAGCTGACGCTGTTAGTGTTAGACTTTTATACTCTCGTCTCAATTCCTCTGTTGAGACGCCCGTCTTTCGAAAAGATGTTACCAAGATACTTGAGCTCCCTGACTTGTTTCAACGGATTTCCGACGATGGTGATGTTAAGGTTGCCAGGTGTTCTGCTGATTTTCATCGTCTCCGTTTTGCTATTACTGATCTTCATGTTGAGCCTCTCACATTGTGCATTTGGCCTGTCTGTGTGCTCTTGAAGTTGCTCTTTTTTCTCAAATGCCAAGCTTTGATCGACCGTAAACAGCATCTCATTCAGGTCTATCTGATTGGGGTTTGTTTCTTTTGTAATTTTGTCCATGTATATTATGAATAGTAGCGGTGATAACACATACCCTTGTCTCACTCCGGATGACACGTCGAACCCGAAAGTGAGTCAGTTTTGGGTGCGGGCTGTGCTCTTTCCTCTCCCTCCTTGCTTTTTGGAATATTGTGGTCAGCCAAATGATTGCTGTTTCTTCACATGCCAGGATGGCTTCAGTTGTAATGACATCAATGCCTTCTGCTTTGTCCCTTGGGCTATTCTTCAGTGCCTGCTATACCTTTGATCATAAGATGTTTGGTTCTTCTTCTTCTCGATATCGTGGTTGAAATTGGCTCGGTGTGTTTTCTTGGCTGCTTGGGTTAAGGAGTTCCCTGAAATACAAAAGCCATCTGTTTTTTATGCTGTCTTCCTCACTGAGTGGGTTTCCATTTTTGTCATTGAGTACTGTTGTTGGGCTGTATGTTTCGTCTCGTAGTCTCATTGCTTTGGAACTTTTGCCATATTCCTTCCGTGACTGTTCCTTGGAACTTCTGACTATCCTCTTGCTACGACGTCTTGCAGGTCTGTATTTCACATAGTCCCCATCTAGCTTTGATTTTACCTACGCCTTGTACAACTCTTTCTTTTCTTTGATGGCCTCCTTTACTGTGTTATTCCACCGAGCTGTCTGCTTTGCCTGCCCTCTTCTGGTTTTCTTTGTACCACAGGCGTTAAGGAGTGTCTCTGTCAGCATGGTCTTGAACACTGACCTTGATCAAAATCTCGTAAGTTTTCAGTTTCCAAGGACACCACAACTTTGGACGTTACCACTCTTTGTCGGCTATTTTCTCGCTTAATTTACCTCTGGGACGAGACGAATCCCACCTATTCCAATTGTAAATATCTTATATTCTTTAATAGAAAGATTAGGTATATTTTTTTTTATGCAAGGCAAATGAGCAGGCTTTAAGAGGATATAAACAACTCCGAATACCCAAAAATTGATGAGGGCGTGATTCCACCGTCTCGTCTCACACACACACACACACACACACACACACACACACACACACACACACACACACACACATACACACACGCACACGTGCATATATATAAATACGCATGCACACATTGCGTCATAAAATCGGTTTATTCTTTATGAATCCGTCTGTATATTCTTCCTATGACACACTAGCTAGAGGTATCACTTTTTATCCTCGACAATGGAAGGTGCACAGCTGCTTACCAGAAAGCGGTGTCCAGTACCATTTACACACGTTTATAAACTGTGTTTATTTTCTACAGCAACCATGCGGGTCCAACGATGAACTCAGTACCACATATAGACGATCGTGTGACGCCAAGACACAACGTTGGGCTTCCTATTCCCGACAACGCCAATACAGGCACGAACGACAGACCCCCGTCTTTCCCGCCCTCCTACCACACTAACGAGGTCTGGCATAATCACAATGATCACAGAGGTGGTAGGGGCCGAGGGCGGGACGTTTTCGACAGGATGGGGAACCCTCAAGCTTTTGCGTTAGAAAACGCATTTGAACGAAGATTCCGGAACGTTCTGCAACAGCAGAGACTAGGGGAACAGCCCGGGTACAACTCACTACGCCGTCGACACGACAGCCATCACGACCAAGAGCAGCATCATCTTGACCTGCCAATGCGACGTCTTCAGCCACCAACACAACCACAACGACAGCAGCAGAGAGGTGAGGGGCATCACGGAGTAGCACGGTACGCACCGCATCCTAATCCAGCCCCGAGGTTCTCGGGAAATCTTGGCTTTTCTTACCTGGGCTCGAATCCTGATCCTATGCCAAGAAGTTTCAACTACGAGATCGTCTAACTTTGTTGCTTATACAGAAGCAGAGGTGCCCTTTCCAATCCACACAGAGCACATAAAGAGACGTTTTTGTTTGTAACATTCATTTTGTAGTTTAACCCTTACAAGTCGTGAGCCTGCTCCCTATTTTGTGGAGGCAAGTTTAGTTAAAAATATGTAAAAGGGTAGATCATTTATTTTTCCATCATAAAAGTTAAGTTTTAAACAAGAAATGTGTATTTATAACCAAAATTTGGAAAGGAATGAAGATTTTATACTATGAAGATACAGTTATAGTACCAGCAAACAGACATTTACTTTGAATGAGGAAAACAAGAAAATGCAACAAAAAGCGTCTAGTAAGTGGACGTAACGACTTCTTAGAGTTAAATTACAGTTGTCATAATATCTGATTATATTAGGCTCGCCCTAACTTCCAGTGCGCACATATTTTATATAATGTTCATTGCTTTGACTTGTACTACTGATTATACCATTCTGTTGTTTATTAGTATTTCTCATTGTAATGCAATATCTCAAATCGCCTCGTAGATTACAGGTTAAAAATATTCGGTCTCAAAACGTGTTGTAACCAACCATTTTGAGCTGCAACAATATATCTATATTTTGTCTTTAACAGTATGGGCACGATGATTCAAATGATCAGATCTTTTTAATTTTTTCACTCTTTGGATATAAAATGGATTTCACGACACTAGTCCACTATTTGCACAAACTATTTTTTACACTTACACCTACCATTTTGTCATAATAATGCATTTTAATCTCCTACGGTACTTTACTTGGCCTGTGCTCAAAAGTTATGTCCTGCATTTTTTTGTATCTACGGTTTCCAGTTTGACAGATGTGTCTCGTTCTATATTTTCTTATTTAACTTATATAAAAGATAATATTATTTTATCATAGTTACCTTTTTTGTCACGTATAATTGATCTATTAAAGCTTTTCAAAACTTACACACAAAGAGGTCTAATGCAGAAGCATCTACTTCTACCTTGTTAAAAACTTAAGCCATACACGTCCATGTTCTAGTTCAAACCTCTTGTTGTAATCAAGAGTGATCATCACTACTGTTTCCTCAACTTCAGGAGTAGTCGGGACAGCATCAACATAATCACGACAGATTGCCTATACACCTTATAGCTAATCTGATGATTCCTTACATGATCAGTCACACTGATGGAGCACCAACGATAACTACAACAACTCTTTAAAAAACAGTTATAGTTGCCCCAAGTGGGGACTCATTATTTTAAAGAAGGTTTTGACAATCCTCAAACTCAGAACTGAACTTTCTAACGAATGTGTCAGGGGCGTTTATAGTGTTCACGGCGACAATAGCGCTGTTTTGACACAATACTCACTGGAGTATCGCAATTTCCTCCCAGATCGCCCACTCTCGTAACAAAATGAAACATGATATCCTTCACACAAAGGGAAGCCTCAACTTCGCCCATTGTCCACACCGAGGCCAGTCTTCAAAAAAATCCTTAAAATAGCCTCTGATATTTCATAATTTTACTAAAATCCAATACTACTAAAAAAGCATAATATTGAGGGAACTCTTCGACGCGTATTCCATAACTGCGCTCTCATAAAAACTTCACTACTATAGTGCGGTCTAAAATCTTCAAATATCTCTTCAACGGGTGATTCAGCGTCACACGTATTTTGCACATCCAGTTTGTATCAATTTGCTTGAACTGAAGCTTATTTTTTAAGAATTATTGAGGTTAGATTTAGAATTTTTTCTTCATAAATTAAAAAACAACCAAATACTACAAATCTCCGCTGTGCAGAAAATGGGATTGTTCTCTGCACTTCCTGCTTCTCAAACACATTAACCATAATATGCATATCTACATCACAGCCCACCAACGACACATTTTAGTGGCAACATTAATTTGTTTCATTAAATTAATTTATAGTTAACGCTCTTTTGCCCTAAATGTTCTCAATAGATGAGTTCTATAAGCATAGCGCCGCGATTTAAAAAAACCAAACAACAACATAACGGTAATGAACGACGGAAGACACACTCGTATCAACACCAAGTCGAGACATGACGACCATCCCAACCCCAATCCCTCTCCCTCTTCCCTACCATCAACCGGAGAAAAAAGTACCCCTGATGTCTCTATATGTGGGTCAACATGGAGCGGGAAGCACACCTGGTGCCCAGTAGACGGAATTGGCAGCTCTGACCATGCGCCGATTTCCGTGACCCTTAACACTGAGGTCAGCCATGGATCAGTATTCAAGGGTCAAGTCACCTGGAAATCGTTCGGTGTCGACTGGAAAGCTTTCACCGACGCCATTGAACGTGACACTGTGACTAGAATGCCGTCGAACAACCACATCCGCAACATAGTGTCTGAATTCCACACTGCCCTGATGGACGCCGGTACCCGTATTGTCGGCACTGTGAAACCAGGCAGGCACACAAAGACATGGGAAACCCCCACAGTTCGAAGAGCAATCCGGAGGCGAAATAGACTCCGGAAAGAGGTGCGAACCCGCCGCAAAGAATGGCTAGAGGCGTGCCACGTGGCCCAGGAGACGATCAACGATGCTAAGACCGACGCCTGGCGAAAACTGCTCGAGAAAACCACCAACTCACAGGACGACACCAAGATGTGGAAAATCATAAAAAGCCTCAACGGTACCCCTGAGACAAACTCGCCAAATGAAGCAATGTCACACAATGGGCGATTGGTGACATCAAGCAAGCATAAGGCGGACATATTCGCAGACCACTACGCGAACGTCTGCAGTCTAAACATGTCGAAAGAAGACAGAGTCGAAAACTGGCAACTCAAACAGCGACTGAAATACTTACGGAACAACCCACGGACAGACCAGCCCGATTTCACTATCGGGGAACTGAGGAATGCCATTGCAAAGATGAAGTCCCGCGGATCACCCGGACCAGACAACATCCCCCCGTCCTTCCTCAAAAACCTGGGTCCCAAGGCGCTGAAGAAACTGCTCTCCATCTTCAACATGTCATTTCGCTCAGCTGATGTCCCACAAGTCTGGAAAGACGCCATCATTGTCCCCCTCCTCAAGACCGCCAAACCAGCATCGGAACTAACGTCGTTTAGACCGATAAGCCTCACATCCTGTGTCATCAAAGTTATGGAGAGAATGGTATCTGAACGACTGTACGACATGGCCGAGCGGAACGGCTGGTTCTCCGAACTGCAGGCTGGTTTCAGGAAGGGGAGATGTGTGGAAGACCAAATTCTGAGAATTACGCAGAAGATTTCCGATGGCTTCCAAAAGAAGGAGAAATCGCTACTCGTCCTCCTCGATTTTTCAAAGGCATACGACACGGTCTGGCGAGAACGCCTACTCCTCACCCTCCTGGACAGAGGTATCCCAGATACATACGTTTTATGTCTGAATGACTTCCTTCAAAATCGTCAAGCCAGAGTCCGATTCAATGGAATACTGAGTAATAGCAGGAAAATGAACCAAGGTCTCCCACAAGGTTCGGTCCTGGCACCCATCCTCTTCCTTTTTTATATCGACGAACTGGCGAAACTACTTCCGGACGATCTCACAATTTCACTCTACGCTGACGACGTCTCTATCCTCGCTTCATCACGCACGACACGAGACGCCGAAAGTCTGGCACAAAGAGCGGTGGACATCGTTGCTGACTGGAGCAGGCGATGGAAACTCACGCTAAACGGCTCAAAGAGCGAGACAACATTCTTCACGCTCGCAACATCTGACTCGGAATGGAAGCCGTGCATCACGATAAATAATTTGTCAATTAGGTATGAGCCCTACGCAAGACTCCTGGGAGTCACACTCGACCGCAGGCTCACGTTCAAGAAACAGGTTGAGACAGTAATAGCTAAGGCCACACAGAAGATGAGGATGCTCGGCGCTGTAGCGCACTCAAAATGGGGATGGAGGAAAGACGACCTACGCAAGGTCTACCTCACTCATATACAAAGTGTTCTCAACTTTGCGAGCAGCAGCTGGCAACCGTGGCTGAGCAAAACTCTGATAAATAATCTGGAGGTGATTCAAAACAGATGTCTGCGACTGATTACCACCCAAGCCCAGTCCTCACCGATCGAGGCACTTCGAGCTGAAAAGGGGGTCCCAAGCATTCAGTCCACCATAAATGCTAACTGTCTCCGATCAAGAGAGAAGGCCCTCCGACTGAACAACGACCACCCTCGACGAATTGCGGCAACAGAACAAGTGCACAGACGCCTAAAAGGACGCAGGGATTTCCGAAAAAGGGCCGAAGACGTCAGTAAAAAGAGCCCACATCTGTTCGACTGCGAGAGGAGGCCCATCACTTACTTCGAAACCAGGCCCTGGGAACGTGGAATCAACCCCGACATCACTTTTCCCCACCTGTACGGCATAAGCGGAAGGAGTGACTCCAATGGGAAGATTCAAAGCGCTGCTGTTCGTCGAGCACGAGAGCTTGGCGCACAGTACAATATCTACACTGACGGCTCGGCTAGGGCAGGAACAACGGACGGCGGCGCTGGAGTCGTCATCACAACGGGGAACCCGTCCAACCCTACCGTTGTCGAGACATTGAGGGAGAAAGGCGCCATATTTACGTGCTCTTTCGAGGAAGAAAGGAGAGCCTTGGAAATGGCCATTGACTGGATTGACAAAGAGTCCGATGCATCCAACTCGGTAGCTATCTTCACCGACAGTCAATCACTATGCATGGCACTAGTGGGAACACCACCATCCTTCGACCAATTGCGACTACGCATAAATAATGCAATACCTCAACCCACGATTCAGTGGATCCCTGGTCACCGCGATATCCTCGGCAACGATCTCGCTGACAGTAATGCCAAACTGGCAACAGCGCTGCCGGGTCCAGGCCGCCAAATTACTTATGACAGTGCGTGCGCCCAGATAAAACTAATTACAAAAGATCCCCCTATATGCCACACACGGACGAAGGAAGTATACAGGGCATTTTCCTTAAAACGAGAGGCTCTTATTATGTCCCGCAGTGACCAGTCATTACTGGCAAAAATCAGGACCGGTCATTTCTCTGGGCTTCGGGCCTACAAAAATAGAATAGACAAAACATCAGACCCAATATGTCCATTGTGCAGCGAGGAGCCCCAAGATTTGGAGCACTGGCTGCAGAGATGCCCCGCCACGGAGGCCCGGCGGTGGCATCTCTTCGGGGAGGATTCAGGGAGGTTTGGACTGCCTCACCCGCTACCCAAAGGAGGCCGTGGCCTTGGCGAAGAGCACACTCTTCGGGGCTCCGAACATTTCGAACGGATAGGCTACCACACACACACACACACACACACACACACACACACACACACACACACACACAACAACATAAAACGAAACAAAAGCAATAACGGACTTTTATAAACGATATTGTGTCGCCTCAGAACTAATTTGTCCAAAGTCCCTCTTGGCGACACGTTACAGATGTAAATGTGTAAAACTCTTTACAAACCACCCACTGGGATTTATAATAAGTCGTTATTAAGGAATTTTCTAGAATACAGTTAAAATGTTTCTTCAGAAGAAACATTTATCTTTCAAGACAAACTGGTACAAGTCATTGATAATAAGTTGCGCCACGAATTTTTCACAGACACCACACAGGCATAAAGGCCATGGGCTGTGGCATTGCGACAACACGAAAGACAAAACACCAGTCTCGCTTTAGCCAAATAGTTTGCACGACCCCCCCCCCTCCCCATGCCATCATTTTGCCCAGGCTGAGTTGGTACGCCCCGAAATGAACAGTGGTAGAGTGCATGGTCAAAAAAGTTGTAATGCAAACCCATTTCTTACCGTTTTCACGTTATAAGCTTTTTCAAAGCAAAGACTGGTCAATTAAATACATGTTCATATTTTTTTTAATCCACCGATATATCCTATTGAACAAGCTGTTGGAAAAAACAAAACGCAAAAAAAAACAGCTATAAGAATGATGTGTGAAAAAGATGAGACAGTGCCTCTTATTTAAAGAAGAAAACATCAGAAAATTGGTAAAGAATTTACATTAAAGTTTAATCTTCGAACAGTGTACATACAGTTATACCTTATTCAAAGAAACAAAGCAACAGGGGTGACTCTTCCAAGTGCCACAGTATCTTCAGTTGGAGGTATTATCAACAATTAACAAAATCTTTTCTCCTCCTAAGAACATTTCATTTCAGATTGAAGTCGCGCCCAAAAGCAGCCTGTTCTACCTCTAGAAAGGCACAGTTGCACCTCTAACAGTAAAAAAAATACATTCCACTTCCGTCTGCGGAGGTAGATGACTTGTAACACATATGACAATATCGACGGTGTGAACTCCAAATCTGATTTTGGGCCCCATCACTAGTGCATGAGATGTAATGATTAATTAAGCTTTTTGTTCTGTTCCCAGAAGACGCTAGTTCAATTCCCGCGAAGGAATACTATTATTTCATCAAGTACCTGTGCTTTATTGAAACTATTGGAGAATGGAAATTTTCAGATGTCTCTACAGCGGTGGCAGGGGCAGAACTTCCATCAGGAGTGGGACTGTCAATCGAGAATGTTCATTGCTGCCTTGGTTCCAGCTAGATCTAGTTTCATGTAAAAATCATCATAATATGTATGTTGCTTCTAGGATTATGTATTCCTTTGGTCCACACTATTCTTAACCTTTAGTACTACATGTAACTAGAACACGTTCAAAGTCGCAAACTGGGGTGAGCATTCAACGACAGGTGGACCTTAGAAACTCTTGATTAATGTTTGCTCCCGACCTTGACAAGTTAAAGGAAATGAGTACAATCAATTAGGGAAAGAGCTACTCACACACGGAGATACACTCACTCACACTCACACACACACACACACACACACACACACATACATACATACACATAATACTTAGAGAGAATGAGAGAGAGAGAGAGAGAGAGAGAGAGAGAGAGAGAGAGAGGGAGAGAGAGAGAGAGAGAGGGGGAGAGAGAGAGAGAGAGAGAGAGAGAGAGAGAGAGAGAGAGAGAGAGAGAGGGGGGGGGGGTGGCAGGGCTGGAGGGATGTCAAATTTTAATACCTCTCCTTCTATTATTTTAACATTTCTCTCCAACACTAACACGCACCATAATTCGGTTGGGTCTTGTTAACTAACACTTCGATGTCTCTAATGATGAGCTCTGAATTTTGAAGAAAGTGCTTTCAAATTACTGCAGGACAAACTGTGTAGTTCAAGTTAACATAAGAAGTAAGCCAAAGGTAATGTTGAGGCACATTTTGAACCATCATACATAAATTAAAAACGTGAATTTGCATATTTTATAGCATGCATGTTGTTGTTGCTCGTCTGTTAATATTCAGATAGTTGCAAACAGCTAGGGCCTACCTGTTCTGCTGACGGTCGAAAGCTGCACCAGCCAAACTCTGACATGGAGATCCCCAGGAGGGACAGCGTCGCTGTTTTGGGCTCTTCCTCTCAACATGTGAAATTGCACACAGAGCCCCCGCTACGATGTCAATGTCAGTTGAACTTTCTTTGCTCTCAACCACCAGGACTCACTCCAGCTGTTGCTATTTCTCTTTAGCCTGATCCAGAGACCTGCTTTCTCAAAAGTCTGTTGTAGAGCTTTTTCATGGTATTCTCTCTTCCCTAAGACCATGTCCAGCCACTCTCTTTCATTTTCTGAAGCTAATTGCGAAAAAACTTTCTGCAGCTAACTTCATCTGGGAAACACGTTGCCCTCCATACCGCCTCACTTTGTTTGACAAGAGGCTCATGGCGCTTTCCTTTCAACTGGTGTGCAGTCTGATGTTGTCGTTGTGATGCACGTTCAGCTCGTCCAGGTGTACCTATTTCTCCTCTTTGCACCGTAACGCCAGGTCTGTCATCTTTGTTGTCCGGGTTGGGAAGAATCTCTCGCAGTTAAAAAAGGGCCTCTATATCTGTCTCCCGCGCCTTCTTTCTGTGAGGCCCCTTGCCTCCTTGTCGTACAAAGAAGACAGGAGGCGTCGGTAACCTAGTGGTTAGGCTTCCAGACTCGTAATCGTAAGGTTGCCGATTCGGGGGTTCGAGCCTCAGCTTGGCCCGACGATGTGCTCTTTGGAAAGGCATTTTACACGAAATTCACATTTGAGGGTACATTTTCCTTTTAAAATGAGTTTTGTTATAAAGGAAAACAAATCAAATGATTCCGTTTTTGAAAAAATTCTAAATGCTGTCAAATCGAAAGAAAAAAATAGAGGTGGGTAAATTGCTAGAATTAGAAAATTGTATACTGTTTCAGGCAGGGTTTGTTATTATGGTAACTTGAGGGCACAAAAGGACTAAACATGTTAAGGCTTCGTGGGAACACGCTGTTGTTCTCACGCTGTCTAATTACACTTAATTTTGAAGAAACATCTCGTTTTGAAGCTCTGTGCCTACCCTGTAACCAAGGCGTTACGAAAGACAGATGAACACTTTTGGGTCCACACCATCAAAGAAATGGTCTAAAACCGCAGGAATGAAGACAAACCGTACTTTATTTCAAGTAAATTTCACTCTTTTTAAGGAGGTGATCAGACACCCAAGATCTGCCGACTGGCCAGGGACTTTCTTTCTCTGATATCGGGAAGACCAGGTTTATAATAAGTCACTGTCTGTTCTGATGAAGTTGAATAGTCCCTCCCAAGTGAGGTCGTACTCGAACATACTGATCCTTCCGTCTTCTGCAAAAACAAAAACAGAAGCAAAAAATAAAAAAGATGATTTTAAAACGTTAGTTTATAATAATAATGATAATAATAATAATAATAATTGTAATAATAATAAAAATAACAACAACAAAAACAACAATGATAACAACAACAACAACAAGAATAATAATAACAACTGTAATAATAACAAGAACAATAATAAAAATAATGATATTTTAATAATACTATTTTACTACTACATGTACTACTACTACGACGACGACGACGGCTGCTACTACTACTACTACTAGTACTACTACTACTACTACTACTACTACTACTACTACTACTACTACTACTACTACTACTACTACTACTACTAAGAAGAAGAAGATGTAAAAGAAGAAGAAGAAAAAGAAGAAGAAGAAGAAGAAGAAGAAGAAGAAGAAGAAGAAGAAGAAGAAGAAGAAGAATGTGACTTTGATAAAACGCTTAACTCCGATTAGAGAACACTGTCTATAAGCTCGTATACAGTACAATGTGTTGTGACAAAAAATTAGATAGGTTATATTACCTTTAATCTAAAAACAGAAGAATTGATTTAAACTTAAACTGTCTTTCTGTTTGATCTGACTTAAATTACCAAAAATTAAATTCCAGAAAGTGAGGCCTTGAAATACAAGACGTACAGGGTGATCCAAAAAAGACTTTACAACTTGTTTTGTAAATATCTTCCTCCATATTGAAGTTTTGCGTTTCAGATTTGAACATAACGTATGGAAGCCAAAAGGAATTTGTCTGCTATGTATTTCAGATAGGTTCATTTAATGGTTTTGCTCTTTATAGCGCATTAAAAAAACAACCCATTTTCAACCTTGTCGCCATTTTCATAGCATGACGCACAAGTTCGCTTTAGGCCTACCACTAAAAGTTGCAACAATCGCGCCATACTGCACGCTACAGCAGTCTAACAGTAGTAACAAGTCAACAGAAGTCTGCACATATTATTTTCCCCAAATTTTGTTTGCCTGCTGAGATCATGGCTACGTTTAGTAAAGAGCAGCATTACCTCTCCACAAACTCACCATCCCTGACATTTCGTAAGTTCTGCGTACGGCATGGAGAGAATGTTTAGGTGCACTCAAATCTTTTGGCGTCATGAGAAGAGAAGTTCCATCAGTTTGGATCCATAGCGAATCAGAACTAAAATGTTCTTTAAAAAATGACCACTTCAGGTCGAACACGCACCATGCGCAGCTCTTTAAACGTCACCAGAATGCAGATTTCAGTAGCCGAGTCCCATGAGACGTCTGTGCGTAGACAGTCTGCAGCTAGGACTTTCCTACACATCAACATTCTGCATTCTCATGGCAGATCCTAACCTACGACTATACCATGTTCATCTTCGCTAGGCCGAGATGACATGGATCAGAGCATGGCGATGTGTTCATCATTCCTCGAGTGCCTTGTAAAGAGGGATCATTTCCTCGATAACATTTGGTTTAGTGCAAAGCCCATTTTCACCCTTCGGGATATGATATGTCAACTCCAAAAATATTGTCTATTGGGCACCTCAATTTATTGTTCCCAGAAGCCACTTCTTAGTTGTGTGTGGCTTTAAAAACTCATGGTTTAGCAGGTCCCTGTGTTAGGGCGCCACTGAACATTTCGAACGACGCGTTAAAAATGTGTTGAGTCCAAAGGAGGGAATGTGGAGCAGTGCTTCTAGGGATTTTAGAATGAAGTCATTGGGTTTTTAAAACTCTGTAAAAGAAATTAAATATTGTTTAAATGTCACAGAGATGGAAAATTAATGTCAAAGAGAAAATAAAGAAAAAGATCAACTAATCTTTTCACGGCTTCCTTTACAAGATTTTTAAACATTGGTGAACTTTGCGTTTGGGGTCCTTCTTTCTTTTAGTAGTTTTAGCCCTTTTTTATTTTCAAAAAATGTTTATTCTTCGCGGATGTAATATCAAACAAATTCGTTTTGAATGAATTGTGTCTGTTCCAAATCACAGCATTCTAGAACAAATTTTGGTCGAGATATTCAGAAAAAAGTTGTAAAGTTTTTTTGGGGATCACCCTGTACGAAGGTTACTTTTAAGGCTGGAGCTAAATATTGATGGCTTTCTCATTTATTTTTTTAGCCGATGGGCCCTCTACTGACTGATGGACTCTGAAGAAAGCTCGCAGGAGCCGTAGAAAAAAAATCCCCAAAAATACAAAAACAAACACAAATAAAAACAAACAAGAAACAACAAATATCGCTACCGCTAGTCTTTTGCCAAATTTGTAATGTTTAAATAAAAGGTGCATCAGATAAGTCAGAACATCTCTCAGCATAGATAAGTCAACACTGATACAGCGTTGACTGTGAACGTTCACTATTTTAACTGAGTCAATGATGGTCATGTATGAGGAGGGCTGATTGACCCTGGCTATTAGGGCCTGCTTGGGCTTAGTAAGACACAGCATCTTAAGAGAAAGAGAACGCGATATGTTCGATGATATAGCCAAGAATCAAACTCTCTGTTTTGCATACAATAGGCAAGACCCCGACAAGTAGCCTACACCACTGCCGCCGGGATACACAAATGTGACGAGTTGACCAGTTTGTATGTCACCGAAAGGTCAGTATCAATTTTGACCTATCCCCAGAGACCTCACACAAAGCAATACTCTGCGTAACAACTTTAGTTAATTCGCAGTAAAATGTGGAGGTCATCATTCTGTCGCAACACCAAAAGAAAATAATTGTATTCATCTGTTGGGGGTTTTTTTTTTGGGGGGGGGGGAGGGGGTTGTTTTTGCTGTTCTTGTCTTTTTGAACTACAAAAAGGTCATATTGTTAAAAAGGAAACATGTGAGACAGCGTGGTGAAATCATGCGTTCAACAAAATAAAAATAAAATTGAAAAACTGGTATTTTCCCACCTGTTTGGAAAATTTTTATCGAATTTAATTTTTTGACTCATCCCATTTTATGTCCATATAAAATGAGATTTCCGTGGTAATTTTAATTGAAAAACATTGCTTAAAGGCACAAAATAGGTCAATTTTCAGTGGTCAAGGACTCTTTAGCTATAGGAGTTACCAAACTTCGGCCATTTTCTTACTAATTTCACCACTGAAACTAGGCGACCTCTCCTACTTCAATCGCAATTACCTTGCCTTCTATTCAAGTTAATTGGGTGTGCTTTCAGTTTAAATTTTTCCTTTTGTTTTCTTGCAAGACTAGACTATCCATCAGCAGACTAACGTATATATATATGATGCAGCGGTTAGGCAGTTCGCCATTGTAAGGGGAAAGTCTGAATTCTTATCGAGTGCGTTCGTCTTTCTGCTTGTACGTTGTATCCCTCTAGCTCGGGTTGGCCCTTGCAGGCAGGCTCGAAAACTGATTTCAAAATGATCTAAACAGTCGATTGGGTCGTAAAATGTCTAGAATTACATTTATTTTTTCGATTAGTTAACGGGCAGAGGGAAAGAACGAACAATATGAAAAGTCTGTGACTTGGGAGCGAGAACCGCTTATGCTGTTAATCCAAGGCGTGCTGGGATATTGGGATCGAGTATTGGGAGAATGTCACCTGTAAATTGATGATCAACGTCATCAATTTACAGGTGACATTACATTTAACAATCAATACCACTACCCCCACCCCCCACCCCCCCACCCCCCCCCACCCCTACCCCTTGATCCTCACCCCGCCCCATCGGATAAATTAACAAAAACAAAACAAAATTCTTCTTAAGCAAAGACATTGCAACAGTTAACTACCGTCATCGTCGAAGAATTTGCAGAGTTTCTCTATCTCGGATTTGCTGATAGAGCCGTCGAAATCGACATCGATGAGACGGAAGAACAGTGGAGCATGCTTGGCGTCGTTGAGATTTGAGAACCTCCATCTGAACAGAAACTCAATTTTGCTGATCATGTCATCCGCTGTTGAGAAAAGGTTTTGTAAGATCAGATCAGATCAGATCAGAAAAGATCAGACCAAAGAAGATAGATAAAATGAGATTGATTTCCATGAAGAGATGTTAGTTGTTGCATGATAAATACATACACGCACGCGTACACATTATCACACACACACACACACACACACACACACACACACACACACACACACACACACGCACACGCGCGCGCACACACACACACACACACACACAAACACACACACACAAACTTACACACACATACATACACACGCATGCACTTACAAACACAGCCAGATGCACACGAATAGTAATTGAAGATTATTTATTATAGGTCAGTAGTACTTTCATTTACATACTATAGTTTTGTGCTTCAAACGAAAATAATAATTTGAAAATTTTGGTATGGTAGATAGAGCTTTTGGGTTTCTGCAGTTCTTAGATTAATTTCTTATAATTGTTATTTGTTTTGCATCGTGCGTGGTTCTTATCAAAATAATGAAACCAAAGGAACCGATATTTTTCACCCGTTCAGTAATTTTTATTGAATTTTTAAAAAGTTATAAATCTACCAATAACGCCATATGCTCAAAAATGGATGAACGCCTGGTTCCACCTTATTGTCGTAGCACAATTATTTTGTCAAAAGTATAACTATCACGTTCATGCCAATGTTTATGGGCCAGAAAAAAACATCTATAAGGTAAACACCAAACATAAAGAGAAAGTTTCTCCCAACATACGTATTAATAGTATTATAAAATACACACAGGTGAGCTGATCTAAATAAGTTTAAGACGATAGGCTGACTGTGATTGTTTCAGGTGGGCTGCTTTGACGCTGTTGTTACAGCGTCCCAATGGCCACACAGAGATAGCCTACTCGGTAGGAATCGAACCCATGTCACCGGAATCTGTGGTGTGGCGGTTAGGCGCTTCGTTGTTGACTGCAGGAGACCCGAGTTCGAAGCGGGGAGAGAAAACCTTTTTCGAGTATCTCGGTCTTTCTGCTGGGATGCTGTTTCCCTCAAATCCGGGTTGGCCTTGACAGGCAGGGTCGGAAGCCTGCGCCCCAAATGGTGTAAATTATTGTGTCGGATGGGCATAAAAATACATTAAAAAGAACTCATGTCAACGTCGTGTAATCGTGGGACGGTCAGCAATTGGGTAACAGGTAACAAACGTGTCATACAAAGGCTGAAGAAAGAGTTCGCGATTTTAAACAAGATAGGTCAACGTATTTAATATAGCCATTTGGGCATCACTACTTATGATATCGGCACTGTACATTTTCACGTTTTACCGTCAGAATATCATTTTATCTAAGGCATTAGATTCGAGTCTTTAACAAGTCTTAGTGTTTGAATAGCGAGTTTCATCTTTTCGTTAACTAAAAGGCTCTTTACTTTTTAGGGCTCTCTGATATATTTCTTTGACATGGTTGAGTCTTGGAAATACAACAACACAAGTATACGTTTTAAACATTTAATTTTTTTCAGAAACTCTTTTTTTGTAAGTGTTTTACGGCGCTTGCAACTGCGTAAGGTCATGTGAGCGCGAGGGACACCTTAAACATTTTCGGTTGGTAGGAAGTTTTGAATTTTGCCCGGGTGGCAACCGAAGCCTACTTTTATCGATTTTAGACCACCAAGGGATCTTTAACGTGCGCAACTTGCCCTTGGGACCTCCGAGATTTTTCACCCTTGCCCGAAAAGGCTAGGTGCAGATCTTTCCTACCAGAAGATTAGGAGTGTGACAGAAAAAAGCAGTAAGAAGGGGCCAAGGAGTAACAGTAGAAAGGCTACAGAAAGAGTCAGGAGCCCAGAGGAGTGACCAAAGGAGGTGAGGGAGCGGGGGGGGCAGAAAGTGGAGACGAAAGCAGACGACAGAATATTGCTAGAGAGCAGGAAAGAAAGTGATAGGAGAAAATTTTAGATAAAACATTGTTTTGGTCGCTACCAGGATTCGAACAGGAGATCTTTGAATGACAGGCAAACAACTTATCCTCTAGGCCACGAGAGCCCCCTCATAAACTCTTATTCCAACTACTCATACATTAGTAGTCGAGAGACTTCGGACACTGTACAAAGTCACACCACCCCCTGTACCAAGTCGCCCTACATCGGGGTAGTGTGGAAATATATTCATGAATCAGACATCGTGAAAGCCAGGTTTAATTTTATGAATTTGGCATGAAACAGACACCCTGAAGTACAGACACATAGTTTTGTGAAAGGATTGGTGCACTATTGTGACGTGTAAATTTTACAAACTATGGTGTGAAAACTTAGATACACCTTTGTCAAAAACACAATTTGGTTCAAAGCAAAGATACTCGATTTCGCTCAGTGAGGTAGCAAAAACACAGCTATTTAACCCCATGACACATGTGATTCAGTGACAAAGTTTTTTTTTTTTTTGGGGGGGGGGGGGCAACTTTTCATTCCAGTGATTTGTCTTTTTAAGCTATATTTTCTTCAAAGGTATGATTTGATGAGAAAGGCACGTCTTCATGTTGCTACACAACCATATTATACAGTTGAAAATACATGTATTTACTACACAATTCTTGAGCCTATTTCATTATAATATTTTTGTTAGGTTCTAAAACACAAAAGCTCCCTTTTGATCACGGGACAACTGTACGTTTTTAAAAATGCACGCAAGAAGGAAGGTGATATAGAAAGAGAAAATCATCAACTTCCCTTTATGCCTACAAAATTACAAAGTGTGAGAACATGGATTATTTTTAGCTTTGATACACTGAAATTCATTGCTTTCTTTTACTCTATAAATTATTATATAACAGAAACAAAGAGAAAACATGGTGCCAGAACCATTAACGTACTCTTTGTTAATTGATAAAAGATTACTGATAACAGTTTGATGCAAATTGATGGGAGCTGTCAGAAGTTATCTTGAAAAGAAAAGCGTGGTGCTTTTTAGAGTTGGACACGCTTTTTATCAATGATGTACGAGGGAGGCTCAATAAGGTTTTGGTCTGGGTATGAAGGAACCATGCTAGAATAATAAAATCTCGCCAGATCGTGAAGGGCGCCCATCCCTTGTGGTAACTGAGGGGAATGTGTCCATAGTGAAGAAACTGGTTCTACAAGACCGACGTATCCTTATAGTTAAACAGCTCTCAAGTGAAACAAGAATAAGTATAGGGTTAATAAAAACGATTCTCCATTACCATCTTAACATGAATAAAGTGTCTGCGCGGTGGGTACCCTGCCTTTTGACAAGTGTGCAAAATAAGAAAATAAGCAGAGGGTTGAGTCCTGCAAAACTCTCCTTCGAATTTAGTCCAATGACTCAAATGACGCAAATTTCTTAAAAACAATGGTGACTATGGATGAAACATGGATGTATCATTTTGATCCTAAACAAAAAAATATCCTCCATGCTATGGAAAAACCCTTCTTCTCCCCCATCAAAGAAGGTAAAAACAACACCGTCAAGTGGAAAGGTAATGCTGTCGTATTTTTGGGATTGTGGAGGTATCATCATGACTGGCCACCTGTTTCCTAATCTAAAAAAACATTTCTCAAAGGACGTCGTTTCCTTGACAACTAGGACGCCATTGAAGCCGTTGAAGACTGGTTAGAGCCCCATTCTGGTTTATTTATCTCTCAAGGATTTTTGAAGGTCAAAGAGAGGTGACAGAAATGTGTTACTCTGGACGGTGACTATGTAGAGAAATAAAAGTATGTGTGATAAGTTACAAAGCTATCTTTTTTCCTTCCTATTTACACCAAAGACTTCTTGACCACCCCCCTCCCGTATGACGTCTATATGCGTAGGTCCATCAAAGACTAACAACTATTTTTCAGTCTTGGGGTCCATCTCTAGCTGTGTTCCAGTTTCTAACCACACTTTTTGTTGTATTGTTGATGACAAACTTCTCGTCTCAAAACTGTGGTGTCTGGTGTTTGTGCTCGAGAAATATTTTGTTGAAGTTTAAATTCTAAATGTTGAAAAGGATAAGAAATTGTTATATATTGAAAAAGGTTTTCTCTACTCTTTCTCCGAAAACAAAATGCCTTCTGGGCATAACACATTGGAACATCTTGCTGACGGTAATCTTGTTTTCATCACTTTTGCACCCCCCCCCCCCCAAAAAAAAACAACAACCAACCACACAACCCAAAACATTTTTTTAAAAAAATCAGCAACCAAGGAAAAAACCTATCAACTGTATGTGAAAATTTAAAAAAGACGACAATTTTGTGGGGTTTGGTCTCTTGTTTTCACTTCTTAAAAAATATTAAATATAAATTATAAAGTAAAATCTAATAAAATCCTGCCATAAACGTGACCGATGAAACCGACTTATCCCATGTAACAGGCCTGAAAGACTCACAGTCCACGTCAAAAGTACTCCAGACTTGAGTGCACTCTGGCAATGACAGGATGGAGTCGTTGTTTTTGTCTCCCAGAGAAAAGATACCATCTCGGTGATGTGCAGGTGGCTTCACCGTCTCTGCTGACACCACCAACCTGAAAAAGTTTTAAATGAGTTATTTTGTTTTGGGAGGTGTCGACGAGGGTAGGTCATAGTTGTTTTGTCTTTTTTCTGTTTTGTTCTATGATGTGCAAATTATGTGAGCCACAGGAGTTTCAAACTAGAGAGTAAATCATTGATCTATTTGTGAAGTTTGGTTTGAGGTGGTTTTACCTTATTTATTACTTCTGTTTCGAATAAATATATATACTTTTTACGTCTTGTTCCTCTGTGCTAAAAATCCACAGATTGAGCTTAAAAACTGCGACGTAGGCCTACTTGGTTACGGTACTGGTACTTTTTCAACCATCAGTAACCATTACAGACAAATTTTTAAAAAATGAAACCTATGACTTGACAAATTTCAGAGAATATTGTATAAAGTAAAATTTTCATTTTCCCCCGACCTATTACTTCTTGAATAGTCAACATACCACGGACAACATACAGCTGCAACCCGAAACCTGAGCTTGACTATACACCAGGACTTCAGATGATGAACTCTCAAAAGCTTGTGACAAACATTCTGTTTAGAGTTCTCAGAGAGAGGAAGCAAATAATACTGGTATTGGTACCGACATTTCTGTTTCGTAGGCAGTCTCGAATCTTGAAATGCGATTTGGCCACCTGGCTGCTCTTTTGGTTGAAAATCAATAAACAATATTTCTGAACTAATATCCAATAGTCAACATTACTCTCTTCTATTAGTAGTATGCTTTAAGTCCTTCTCATGTGGAGTTAACTATGTCAAAACAGAACTTTATGAGGACGCCTGAGTCACTTCAGGCCAGGGTGACTAAGCCCCCCATTTTTTGCTCAAAATTTTAAAGAATTTGACATATTTTACCCAAAAGGGACTAGATCAATACTATTCAACCATTCCCCTAATTGGAGCCCAAAAATATTAACTTAAACTCATGACTTTTTAAATAATGAATCCTAGAAACTTTAAATAGTGCCTTAGTCACCCCGGCTTACCATAGCCCTAATCTTTTGTCCACACATCTTTTGGAGTCATTACTTGAGGCTCGGGAAAAAATGAATGGTGATCTGAACATGTAACCTCAAATTGTATGGATTGAATTACCTAATTTAACGTATTCATACAAGGTATCTGATCCCATACAGTGTCCTTTTAGAAATTTTGATTTATAACAATATTGTTCCATTTATTATTTTAATATCATTTCATTATTTTACTCAAATCAATTTTATTGTTAGTATTATTGTTTTTTATATTGATGTTATGACCGTGTTTCTTCTTCTTCTTCTTCTTCTTCTTCTTCTCCTTCTCCTTCTCCTTCTCCTTC